CATCACGGACCGTCATGTAAAATGCCCCAGTGAGTGATGATCACAGATGAACAAAACATTCCTGCCAGAGCTGGAGGAGCCACTTGTTTAATGACTTCTGCAGACCAAAGTACTCCTGAGGAAAATCACGACACTATTGTTTTTTTAAAAAATGTATTATTATTAAATAACAAGCTCTATATTAATTATCTGTTAGTGGATTCCAAGAGTCACAATCTGCTGATTAAAGAGAATGCAGCTGACACTCTTCATTTGAACGCGTTTCGCTATTGTTTTTTTTTAAAAAAATTATTATTAAATAACAAGCTCTATAATAATGAGCTGTTAGTGGATTCCAAGAGTCACAGTCTACTGATTAAATAGAATGCAGCTGACACTCTTCATTTGAACGCGTTTCATTGTCCACGTTGGATTTGTTTGGATCCCCAAACTAAATTTCCCACTGCGAAATGAATCTAATTTATTGGCGATTGAGGAGAATTCACTCTTTTTTTTTGGTTCACATTCTTAGTTGTTATGCAAGTGTAAAAAAATGTTATGTAAATAGTGACGTGGAACAAAAACAATTTTAGTCTGAGGCTGGATTTAAATTACATTGCCTAATTATAATTTAACGCCATTTACAGGGTTCCCCCAAAAATCTGTGAGTGATTAATGCACTCTTCTCCCTTGCCACCAAAATACGTTTGCTTATAGAATCCGGAAGATGGTGGCAAAGCACTGCATGAAGCTCCTCAAGTCACTTCAACAGCAGTTTGGCCACATTGTATGAATTAAGGGAAATCAGCTACAGAGATTCCAATTGAAAATGTTTTATTTGTACTTTTATTTCTTTGGGTTTTTTTACATAATGTCTCACCTTGTCTCCAGGATGAGGTCGCATGACAGACACTCTGTCATATCCTCTTCTCAGGAAAACCCAGAGAGCATCCAGTTTGCCCTGTACAACGATGACACACATGACAGTATTCTGACTGAGAAATGTGTTGTTTTTTGTTGTTGTTTTTTTTTTTTTTTTTTAAACTGACTTAGAAGTGTGTTGTTTTTTGTTTTTTAAATTCCGGCTGCCTCGCGGCAAATTGACTGTTGGAGATGAAAGCACAAAAAATGTTCTCAGTTCATGTCTGCTCATTGGATCGTATATTTAATGTTGGGAATGTGCATTTGACAACAGACTGAGATAATGGGAGCACCTTGATGGGAGAATACCACTTCTGGGGATGAACGGGTCTTTTTCCGTGGTAGCGGGACCTCGATGGAGGTGGCTCGGGTTCCTCCTCAGGTATCACAACTCGAGCGTTCTTGGCTTTTTCCAGCTTTGCGCCTTCCTCGGTGGAGCCCTTATCACCCCAACGGACCTGAAATTAAGAAGCGTCAAACTGTTGGCTCAGCGGAAGCTAGCAATCGCGGTATTACAATGGAACCCACGAACTTTCAAGTTCCAAAGACATATGAAGAGGACCTTTAAAAAAAATTGTGATAAGGGGGGCGGGGGTCGAAATTAAATTTGTCAAAATCATTCAGCTCATCATGAACTCATATTTTAACATCTTCCATCATTGAAGGAATGATGGAACCTACGAAGTGGAACGTCACGACTTTCAAGTTCCAAATACATATGAAGAGGACCTTTAAAAAAAATTGTGATAAGGGGGGCGGGGGTCGAAATTAAATTTGTCAAAATCATTCAGCTCATCATGAACTCATATTTTAACATCTTCCATCATTGAAGGAATAGTGCATTTTTTTTTTCTCGAGAGAGATAAAAAAAGATCCAGCACACTGAAGACGAAAGCGGTGATGTCAAAGTGACCTTGACAGTCCATTCCGCAAATCTAGTCCTGTACCGCTGCCACGGACAAGTCATCAAATCTTCAACCTGGCGGCAAGAGATTTCAAACAAAGACGTGTATAGTTTCCATCGCTCTGTTTGCGAGATCCCCCGAGAGTTCACCCCCCTCATGCGCTTTTTCCGCTATCTCCTTGACTTTCATCATGGACGACAGATGTGAATCGTGAACCCACTTAACCTCTTGGCCACGTTCGTTTGTGTGGTTCAAGCACTCGGCAATCAAGTGAAAGCTTTGCTGTCAGTTGTGATAAAGCGCAGCAACGCATTCGGTCGGACTGCATCTTTGTGACCTCGCCGCGAATGTGCTTCAGCTCCCTTTTAACCAGGAAGAGTCTGTAAATGCTGACAGATGCTGTGGCTGAGCGAAAATGCCAAGGACAGAAATTAATTTCAGAGTGCAACGCTTGTTTAATAAGTCGTGGCTTTTCATACCATTCGTGGTATGCAAATACGCCACCTAGTGGCTGTGTGCGGCATACAGATGACATCAGAGCACTCCAAAAATAGCATGTTGATTAATGTTCTGGCAATGTTGTGACATTTTGGCATCTCTGTCAATAAACTTGCCTTTCCCTTCAATATTTTGGAGCCCGTGCACGTTTGGATGAACTCACATGTCACGGGCGAGGCTGATTTTGTGCTATCGTCTTTAAAACAAGTGCGATTTCTCTGGAAACTGCGTGAATGCCGAGGAGCTGACGTTGAACTGAAATGCTGGGGAATTCATGTAAATGTTGAAATGGAGAAGATAGCACGAACACAATGAGAGCAGCAAGAAAGTATGAAGAGTTCGGGAAAGAGCAGATGCCAGGAATGAGCTGAACAGTTGGAATGAGTTGAGATATCTTAAAAAAAAAAAAAAAAAGAAGTACATTTGCAAAAATGTTTCCATTAATTTGGGATTTATTCCAAGGAAAATGTGGAAAAAGTAAACTTGGAGCGTGTTGGGAAGAAAATGTCCCAATACGTTCTGAGCAAGTGGAACATTTTGACGTCGGACTTGTTTTGAATCGGTTGCGAAATTTGGAAGGACATTTGCAGTGCGGGTCATTTCGTAAACTGGCTACGTTAATTGTGGAAAGTGGTCATGGAAAATTTGGAATTCTGTGAAATGTTTTGAGTGCTGAGACAAGTTCTTTAATGTAGGTCTCGACAATGCGACATGAATGCTCTGCTTTCACGATCGCCGTTTCGTATACTTTACCTCCATCCTTTTAATGCCTCCGACTCCTCGGCCTCCGTAGTATGAGGCATCCACGGTGGGCCATTTTCTCTTGTGAAAATCGTCCTCGTCGTCCTAGACCAGAAGGAAACCTTTCATACAGAGTCCACGACTGCACAATTACAGCATCGCAGCATAGCAAGTTCGAATTTTGTAATGTCCAACACGGCCTCAAAACCAGCCTCGTATTTGCCTCTTCAGGTAAAAAATTAGGAATCCATTTTCTACCCATTATTGTGTTGTCGTTTTTTTTTCTTCTTCGGTAACCTCTCATTGAATATTGCACGTGTGTGATGAATTACAAGTTCGAATTTTGTAATGTCCAACACGGCCTCAAAACCAGCCTCGTATTTGCCTCTTCAGGTAAAAAAATCAGGAATCCATTTTCTACCCGTTATTGTGTTGTCCTTTTATTTTTTGTTCTTCGGTAACCTCTCATTGAATATTGCACGTGTGTGATGAATTAAGTCTTAAGCAAGTGTGCAATTGTGCTCTCACAAGTACAGGAACGGATTTTTTTTAATTACTTACAGAGAAGTCCTCTTCTGTCGGCGGTGAGGGTAACTCATGAATGACCTGCATGTCAATGAGAACAAAGTGAAATATGTATTTTTTTTTTCAGCAACAGTCCAAAGATGTAATGTTGTTACATGTCATAAAATTGGGGGTCCCCAGTTTAGGATAGAGTTCCATTCCTTCAGCAGCAACATAACGAGCGAGTCGGAAACGAGTTGTACTCTTTTTGGTGGAGGTAACTCATGAATGACCTGTATGTCAATGAGAACAGAGTGAAATATGTATTCTTTTTTTTTTTTTCAGCAACAGTCCAAAGATGTATTGTTGTTGCATGTCATAAAATTGGGGGTCCCCAGTTTAGGACAGAGTTCCATTCCTTCAGCAGCAACATAACGAGCGAGTCGGAAACGAGTTGTACTCTTTTGGCTAACCTAAGCAAACATGGTAGTCTAGTTAGGATTCCAGTAAATATTTCTATTCGCGTGACAACACTTGTCGGCAGTCAGTATAATAAGTACGTACACGAGTACATCATCTTACCACAGTGCAGCACAGAGGCCAGAACCACCAGAGCAGAAGAAAGATGAGCAGGAGCAGCAGGATGAGGAGAGCGATGGCCACAAAGGTGCCATCCGACTGGCCAAAAAAACTTATTTGCATCATTCAGTATATCGACATGTCTACACAGCCTCTATCCCTTTATGTCCGTGAAGAGGAGTCGTCAATGGGATGTTCTGGACACAGTCCGAACTCCCATCTCCCCCCCCACAGCAAAAACTGAAGAATGCGGCTGTTTTCAACCAGAAACGATCAGGAGGGTTGTCATCATCAAGTCATGTGTATAATGGATCGCAGAAATGGACACAAAGGATTCGACTTGCTGTCTGCGATTGATGATGAAAATATATTTCTTCATTCCAATTGGCGCCCACGGTGACAGCTCAGCTGGCCTGAGCTTCAAGGGGGGGGCGAATTTAATTTCCGAGGTATTGGCGGTAAAGCAAGGCACGTTTTTAAAGGACGTGTGCACTCAAGTTAACTTTCAAGTCACACTTTGGATTGTTTTTTAGGTCAAACTTTGCCGGTTGAAATGCGGTAACATAAAGCAGGAGGTGTACAGTATGTGTGACAGATGTTTTTCATTTCACGATCAGCGGAAGTAAAATGGAATAGACCCCCCCCCAGGCCGTTGTTCATGCTGACGTGAAGCGTGGCGGCCCTGCAGAGAAAAGCGAGCGCGTGAATTAAGACCAATGACATTTTGCCAACAACGTTGGCCGGATAATGAGCACACGTGTAGTTGCTTTTACATTGTGCCCTTTATCTTGGATTTTGTACATTTCACTTACGTTCCTTCTTTGTCCAAAACAGGAGCTGGGCACAGCAGGTAGGTGTCTCTCACCACCAGAGGTCTTTTCACTGCGCAGTGGTAAGTACAATGTGTGTTAAATATATATATTTCCTCTCATTTAATCTCCCTTTGTTGTAAAAGCGGATTTTGCTTGAATTTGACCGATTTCAACCCCGAATTTGCAAAGATCGTACCAACTTTGCAAACGTTGGCGTGATACGTTTGTGAAACGATGAAACCATCACGGGGTTCAAGCCTTAGCACTTTCCTGCACTTCCTCACTTGCAAGTGAGAAAAGAGGCCAATGAGCAGGGCTGCGGTTTATTTACACTGGCCAAGAAGGCGAGCGTCAAACGTGTGTGCAAAGACGCCGTTCCTCCTCGATGGGATCCGCTTTCCGTCCTCGGACATCTGAGAAGGCTTGAGCTTTATACCAGCTGATCCTAAGCAGAGTGAGGAGATGCCGATGTGGTCTTCTTTTGAGGGGGGGGGCGGGATTGGAATCATATCATGGGCCAAAACAGCGGAGCGGCTTCAATTTCTGTCACAATGAAGATTTGGGCTGCTGAATGCTATTTTAAAACTGATTTTATGGATGCAATTTTAGCATCCTCACTCAACTTCACGGACAGTTTTTTTTGGGGGGATATTATCTACGTACTTGGGTGTGTCTTCCGTTTGTGCCCGTTGTTTACAACCACAACAACAGCTTGCAGTACGCCCATAAGAGAGTCTTTTCGGGTATTTTATTTCCCCTCTTAAGTTGATTCACACTCAACGTCTGCAGAATAAATGGGCAGCGTGAGACTTGAATGTGCCTCGCCAAACTCCTGGGAAATCTATCTGCCTCTTCTTAAAGGTTTTTTTTTTTTTTTCTAAAGCAGCCACTTTACCCGACAACTATGCTGGGAACTATGGCTTGGTTTGGCTCGTCGTGACGGGGATTTATATAAGACCCGCTTCATGGCGTCTTAATTCATGAGTTTTGTTTTTTTTTCTTCACACTGGAAATTTTAGCTACTCCGAGCCAAACCATTTTTGCGATTTGATGTATAGCCTACGCCCGCTGCCCTGAGGCTCATTAAATGTTACTGACCCCTACTAGGCAATCAAAATATGAGACACGCCCCCAAGATGCCTTTCCATATATGTCAGTTGGAGTATTTTGAGCGGGGACTTACTCAAAGTCACCGTGTCATTGATGCGGAAGCTGCAGAGGACTTTCTGAACGTCACGGGCATGAAAGAAACCGTTTCCCCGGATCACCACCTGGAACGATTCTGACGTAGCACCGAAGTGATTCACTCACTTACGGGTACAAGTGTCATCACCCTGTTCAAAAGGGGTCATGTTTTCATCATGCGGCAATTCCGTTGGCGGGAATTTGGTCCATCTCCAACATGCAACCTCACGTATAACAGGCAAGATTAACAATACAAATGCACTCTGTGGAGAGCCAGACGACAGGAACAATATTATTGGCGAATCGCGGAATCATAAAAATAAGTGGAGCACTACCTCCTGCGCAGATGCTCGAGGGCTCGACGGCCAGAATCTCAATGCACGACCTTTTCAGGATCTAGAGCCATATTAGAACATCAAACCGGTCCAATTACACAATAAGACACTTAACCAGGAGTACGTACGCCCGAATGGGAGCGTGCGGCGCATGATGTCATACCGAGTCAATGATCACATGCAGCGTGTGAAAACCGTCCGTCACGGGGAAGACGTGGTCCTCGCTGTCGGCGATGGTTGACAACTGCGGAGAGATTGTTGTCATCATCTTTGTGTGACACTTCTCTTTTTTTCGGCACGTCACATGAGCCGACTAGGTTCACCTGGGTCTCGTTGAAGTCTTTCACTCCCACGCAGTAAACGGTGGCACCCAACTGCCGCGCTCTGCTCGCCTGAGTTAAAGGACAATAAACAAGTATGGGTGGACCTCAGAGGTCAGGTCACTGAAAAATGCAGCTGGAGCGTCTCTTCGGGGATGGAACACATCTGTTGGGATGTCACCACACAGACGTGGTCGCAAGCCAATAGCGGGTTACACCCGTACGGATGATCGCGCTGAATTTGAGTATGTCTCACCCTTGACACCGGTGGAATGTTCTGACACACCCAAAGTGAAATCTGTCCACGCGTTATACCGGACTACCGTATTTTCCGCACTGTGAGGCGTACCTAAAAGCATTCCATTTTCTCAAAAGTCAACAGTGCGCCTTATAATCCGATATATATGGATCAATATTCTGATTTCTTGGACGTAGGATTTTAAATGTTCTGGAAAACTCTTTGTTACGGCTGCAGCGGTTGTGAAAGCTCGATATAAATAAAGCTGTATTGCATTGTATTGTATTCCCTTTGGCGCAGCTCCATCTAGTGGATGCATAACGCAACCGCAGCCACTACTGAAACTTCTCTTTTGTGCGGCTTATAATACGGTGTGCCCTATATACTGTATGAAAACAATTTTAAAATCGGCCATTCATTGAAGATGCGCCTTATACTCCCAAGCGCCTTAGAGTGCGGAAAATACAGTGCATTCTTCTCATATACTGAAACACGTGTGTATGTGTGTGTGTGTTTCAGTTGTGTAATGTGAGTTTCTGAAGTGTTTGGGGGAGGTTAAGATGTCAAAAGTTTCTTGCCTCTCTTTGAGCCAGGTCAAATTGATTTTCCCTCAATTCGCCATCCGTCAAAGCAATTATGACGCTGGCTGTGCGGTAGCCTGATGGCAGAAAGAAACCGGAAATTAGCACAGCAATCAAAGCATACTTGTAGAGCCTAAAAATGAAAAGTATTCAATCTGTGTGAATTTAACGTCTATTTGTTGTCACTCGTGTAGCTAAGTAGCACGGCAAATATTTGAATCGTGTTTGATTCCAGTTTTGATCATTTAAGGCCTGGGAGTTGTTTTTTTTTTCCATACAAATGTTGACTGGAAATATAACTTGATTACTGGCTTGGCAAAACGTGCGGACGGCGAAGTATTGTGACTTAAAAGAAATTTGAGATACGTTGCCGCTGTAACGCAAGGAGTTCCCATATATGCTACATACGCTCATTTATCAGCATGACAAAAACAGGCAGCTGTGGTTCCAGGTCGTTTTCGCTGCGGCTGATGGTTCTGCCAGATGGGTGAACTAAGTTGCAATGGATGGATTGATGCGAGGACTCAGCAGGAAAAGTACATGATTCACTGTGCAAAAGTCAAACTCACCATCCCCTGTGCCGTAGTAAATTTGCTCACTGGCCTGCGCGGGAAATCAACGGGAATGCATTTCAACCGATTTAAAATGTTGGAGTTTTCAGGATTGTTTTGGCTGGAGGAGAAAACAAAGGACTCACCTTGGACAAACCGAGGTGCATGTAGGTGTCCCCACCCGGCTGGACCATGCTGAGCTTCTCCAACCCTGCTCGTATTTGCTCTCTGGATGGAGAATACAAATAATCAAATCAAGCCAGAAGCCAAATGAAAATCCCAAATGAAGTCTGCTGATGCGGCACCTGTCTTCCGTCAGCGGCATGAGAATTCGTCCTTCTGTCGAAAAGACGATAAAAGACATCCGTAGCTGAGGACTGACAGTAAAAAAAAAAAGAGATGGTTAGCCGCCTTTAGTTGAAACCGGCCGAACAAAGTCTGCGCAGCCCACCTGATAAACTTGTACGCCAGGTTGTCCACAAAGTAATAAATTTCATTCCAGTAATGTTGCACACTGCCAGATCTGAAAATGGAAAACCGACATTTTCACGAGTGAATATGGAATCGATCAAAGAGTAAAAAAGAAAAATAATTACGCCGGCACAAATTATGAGCGTTCACATTCCGAACCATCCGATTTGAACAGGGAAGGTTAGCGGAAGCTAATGAACACCCACGTTTGAACGTTTTTCAAAGTGTGGGTCCACCCAAGAAAACCCCACTGAGACTTTGGGTGCCTCGCAGCTTTTATTCATGAGTTGTTTTGTTTTTTTTTTTGGAGTGATAACTTCAAGTTTGAGACCAGATCCAAATTTTCCAGAAACTGAAAACACAAGACTTCAAGAATCAAGTGAGTGAATCAAGAGAAGGCTCTGCGAGCCTCTTTCCGCTTCTGCTTTCATTTATCTTCCTGCGTTGTGAGTCCCGGGCGCCGGCGCAGCCAAACGCTCTTTGGAACAGCTGGCTCTCATGGAGAAAGGGTTCGCTGGGACCGAGACGACGGCCGCAGCTGCCATAAGTGACGCGTGGCTGCAGTTTGACGAGGCAAATCCCTGCGGCGTGTTTGATGATCAAATGAGCATCTTGGATTCTCGTTGCTCCGCGCTTTCTAAGACCCCGCAACCCCCCCCCCCCAAAAAAAATGCTGTCGACTGATTTGCGAGACGCGCGTGCACGAACGGCAACGTTTATTGACTGGACTGGGGAGTGTTTGTTTGACATGGAGGCATTTATTTGAGATAAGGCATTTAATGCTTATGCAATGGGAGGTACAATGCACGTAAGATTTTCAACACTGGGTTTTGGTGTGGACCGCTCACATAAGGATTTGAAATCACAAATATTGAACGGTTAACATTTTGATTGTTGGCCAGACCGTTTTCCCAATGGATCTGAAGGGGGGGGCGGGGGGGGGGGGTAGAATCTTAACACACCCGACACCGCAGATCATCATCGCTCAGGATAATCTTTTCGGGGCATCTGACGATCTGGCCTTTTTTTGAATTTAACCAGAAGGGGCAGGAGCAGCTCAAATTTGGTGCGATTGTTGGTCAATGTGGACTTTGCTTCAAGGTGGCGCGAGACATGTTGCCCGTTGATTGATCAGCAATTGTGTCGTAATTATTTGAGGCCACCATTTCGATGCGGAGAATGTTTCTGACGTCAAACAACAGAACTGAAGATGCTGTGAAATTCTGGCGTGATTCGGCATGAGAACCGTTTGGATTCACCTCAACTTGACTTGCTGACCGTTCCACGGATGTTGAAACCGAATACACACGTCAGCTTACGCCGGGAAAGTAAACACGATCTTTCTCAAACAAATGGCCGCACATTGTCCCAAACATCCATACCAAAGTTTAAAAAATTAACGCGTGGATATTTTTTCACATTGACTTTGCCGTCTAAATCAGAAACTCAATCCAAAAATGTACCGTTCAATGCGTCGCATTTTGTTCTGGCTTTTCATAACACAAATTCTCCTCTCTGAAATTGGACGTGACACCTGTTCAGTGCCTGAATTGTCACAAACTAGCAGACGAGGAGCATCCGAATATCCCGTCGTCTCCGGCATTGTTTTCCATCTCATCAAGACGTAAAAACAAAAGCACTCACTTGTCTAAAACAAAGTACAGGTCAAATCCCCCGTAGCAGGACGACCCAGCTTCTCTCCCATCGTAGCTCTGTCCCGCAGTGCCGACCACAAGCGCCACCACAACAATACCCACTTCCACGCCAAGCAGGACCTGCCTGCACCAGCGCCGGGACATTCCTCAGAATTTGGAGAAGAAAAAAAAAAAAAGCCTCGTCCTGTGTAGCACTTTAGGAGGATGTAAACATGAGTGCGCTCCCAAGGTTTTGTCCCTCAACTTCAATCAGCGGCAAGCGCGGACGCAACCCGTCATGCTGTAAAAGTATGAAAGCGTCTGGAGGCAGGCTCCCATCTCCTCAGCAACAGATGTGAGCTGGAAGAAGGGGGAGTGACTCGCCCATCCTCCCTTCTCTCCCCGCACACGATCCTGTCAACATGAGTGCCATAACCTCACACCACGTTACATAATGCATAACAGTAACACACATTTCATCTCGTAAGAATAAAACACGGCACTTCCTTGTATTTCAATTGACTGTTTTATATTTGGAGCCTCCATGTTATTTTCTTCCGCATGTTTATTGTAGGGCGGCCCGGTGGGGGCGACTGGTTAGCGCGTTGGCCTCACGGTGCAGAGGTGCACGGTTCGATTCCGGCCTTCCTGTGTGGAGTTTGCATGTTCTCCCTGTGCCTGCGTGGGTTTTCTCCGGGTACTCCGTTTCCTCCTACGTTCTAAAAGCATGCATGGCAGGTTCGTGTCACGGATGGTTGTTCGTCTCTGTGTGCCTCGCGATTGGCTGGCAACCAGTTCAGGGTGTACCCCGCCTACTGCCCGAAGACAGCTGGGAAAGGCCCCAGCACGCCTGCGACCCTCGTGAGGGTAAGTGGATCAAAAAAATGGATGGATGGATGTTTAACCTGTTGCCATTCATACAACAGGATAAGTCATGGCTTCCTGCGAGTATATCCCGGCGTTTAAATGCCCATTTTTTGAACCATTTTGTCATGTAAAATTGGACGATTCGGTCAATCAATGTGCTGGAACACTGGGGAAGTGCACAATATTTTAATTTTGTTCAGCAAGATGTCTCAACGCATCCTTAGTCTTTAGTGCCACTCAGTGGTGAAAATGTAAATTGCAATTCATCACACCTGACGGTGTACTGTATTCATAACACCCCCCAAAAAAGTCCTTTGGTCCGCTTGTTTGGTGCGTAGGTCCGAGCAAAAAGATTTTTTTTCCCCCCGGTTCATATTCATCACTCTACTTTTTACAAGTGAACTATATTCTGTTGACACATCGACACGTGTGACAATCTCTTTGGGCAGAACCAAAAGCCCAAACCCGGAAATTGAGAAGTATATAATTCCTACGTGCTCCCTTCTTGCTCTGGATTTTTCTGCTGTTATTACAGCTGCAAAATACTTTGGAATGTCAAGAGCAGGTCATTCAGTGCACGTTTTTGCGACGCTATTTTTTTCCCCCTCATCACAGCGTCGCCGAATGCGTGCAGGAACCCGCAGGAGAGTGTGCTCTGCATGCAAACCCGCCGACCACTATAATCAATAAGCTATCACGAGTCCTAATCGTTCTATCGTGCATTTTCCACGATGTGTCAATTCATTTTTAATCGGCGTACGGGCTGTCAGTTGCTTTGCTTTTGACCCCTGAGGATTAGCCAAATAATATTAATGCTCTACCCAAATCGCCAAGTCAGCAACCAGTTGGCGGAACATTTTCTAATTACTGATGGAAAACCACGCGAAACAAATACAAATGTTATTGAAACAGACGTTCAAACTCCCACTTAAGGTAATCCTCCCCACCAAATTGACCATGGACACGTTTAAAAACAAGTTCGACGCAACCTTGGTTCACGTTAATTTTCAACACGGTATTTTATGATGAAGGGTGGGAGCACATTTTCTGCTGGTTATATTTATTTTAGGATCATTTCTCATACCCGATAACTCTTAATCACGAATAACCCATAAATGTTTAATTTAATGACCTGTGTTGTTTGTTTATAGGTACGCCGTGGCTTTTCATCGTCTGAAACTGTCCTGCCACAAGGTAAAATTGTTTCATCGTCTGAAACTGTCCTGCCACAAGGTAAAAAAAAAAAGCAAACTAAGCTTACAGATATGAAATCGCATTTTTTAAATTACTCGGTCAGCACCGGGGAAAATCCATAAAAAGTGCCGACACAGCAAGTAGAAGATGAAAAACTGATGTTGTGTCTTCCGCAGCTCAATATCTGTTTACATCTGTAGTCCTTGTTCCAAGAGTTGCGGAAAAACAGATGTTTGTGATCGTCTTGGAACCAGAGTATATTTGCTTTCAAGTCGGACCGTTTTGCTTCTACATTAAGCTAACAGTGATTTGGTATTACTTCGTTGGATTTTTTTTTTTTTCCTCTCGCGAGTGACTTTGTGGTGAACTTTATGCAACGTATTTGAACATTGCTTTTTTTCGTTCGTTTCAGTTTAAAGCTAGCTCTGCCGTGAATTTATGTGCACATTTTAAAATTAGAATGGCTGAATTAGAGCAAAATTTTCCCCTTCCGGTCAAAGTTAGTTGAAAGCCCAATTATCTTATGTCTCTCAAAGATTTTCCTCAGCGTTTTTTTTTCCCCCCTATGGTGTTGAATGTGTTAATATGCTCAGAAAATGGTCTGGCCTATAATTGTGAGCTGTTTTTGGGGGGTTCCTTTCCACTCGTGACTTCCTTTAAATTGAAAGACACAGCACAGCTCTTCTCTCTGGTAGTTGCCTGGAGACTGGAGGTCACTGAGGCCAGCCTGAAGCAGTGGTGGGGTGCCTGTAAAATGCCTCTGACTTCAAAAGTGCACTGCTGAGTCGACATTCATTTATACTCACTATTTGCATGAGTGAATTCACTGAGGAAAAAAAATGGCCCATTCTATTCTTTTTTTTTTCCATTGAGACTTTCCACCACCTCGGCACACTGCAAATGTGACATGAAATATGTTTCCATCTCAATTGTGTTTCTCAGGCATCCTGAATGGCTGATTAGTTTTACTTTATTGGAATTATTTTCACCCTTCCAAGAGGAAGGGTGAAAATAATTTCGCTTCTGTGAGAGAAGCGAAACGTCCTTTTTTGTTTTTTGTTTTTTTGTTTTTTGTTTTTTACCCACAGGTACAGATGACGACTGACAGAACCCTTTCTACGATGGAACTTTCCTGTACGACTGAGAGCCTCCACAAGCACCTTCCAAGAGGGTTAAAATGTTACTTCTGATGCCTGGATGGTTAACACACCATCTCTCGAATTATAATAACTAACATTTTGGACAAACCGGCAGCCTGAATTGTGAAAAACAGTTCATTATTTTCCAAATCATGAAAAGAATTTATCATTGTGCTTTAGTCATGATTCCTTCACCCTTGTGTCCCTAAACAGTATGTCCTTATAACAGTTTTGCTGACACCAAATGTTTATTATTCAGATTTTATTCAGTATTTTGCTCATGTCATTGCCATTCAACACTTTTTTGTTTGTTGTTTACGCTGCTTACATGTCATCTGACAGTAGGTGACATCAGATGTGTGTTTGGCAATGAAGGGCGGCATGTGTGTGTATGTGCGCACGCCCATGCACTCGGTCCTTGAATGTCCACTAATCTCTGCAGCCGCATGGAGATCTGAAAGAGGGAAAAAAAACAACGTAGCTCTTTTAAAAAAAAAAAGAAATAAATCACATTGTCGAGGAACTCTTGCCGTGAATTTTCCTCCTTTATCAATCTACTTTTTGTTTGAATTTTGCTTGATTTTTCCTTTTTAAATAATGCTCTTTGCTTCTGCATACTTTTTTTTGTTCAGTTTGCGGGTCTCTCATACGGCCGATGGGGACGACGTGGAAGCAAAACTTCAGTACATGGACGATGAGATTGATTACAAGGATCCCTGCAAAGCCGGTAAAAGCATTTGCTCTCCTCTTTCAGTTTCATATGTATTTTTATTTATGTATTTATTTATTTTTTGTCTTAATACAGTCTTATATATTGCAACAAGGTTGACGTTTCATCCATCTACTCAGGCATTGAGACATTTAAGACCCACTCTTTGAATTGAAAATTTAATAATATTAAACATTCAATCATTTTTCGAGTAAGTTGTGAAGACATGATCGACTTTATCTCCATTCGGTCCACCTTCGCATTCTATTGAGATTCTCTGTAAGTGCTGCCGCACGTATTTTAGCCTTTAGAAAGAAGATAATGCTCCGTTTTGATTGACGCTTTAAGTATGCATGGGTGTTCGTTCATAAGGCTGGGAGGATATGGCCCAGAAATCATATTGCGGTTTCAATTGCACCCCTTCACCGTAATTGAATATATCACGATCCAACATGATGGTTAAAAATATTCTTCGTGAACAATAATAAACCATTTCATTTTATTAATTGCGTCGTCCTAAAGTGATCAGATGAATAACAATGATGGCACGAATATTAATCGGGATAACATTTGTCATGCAAATCTCAAATCAGAATTAAGTTAGCGCTCCCCGGTGCAAAATAGTGCAAATTAAAATAATGCAGCCGATATTTGAAACGAAAACGGTCGGAAATATGCTTTCCGTTTAGTTTTCCGGTTTTCATTCAAATATCTGTGTCGTCGCAGCATTATTTACATAAAACTCACATCACTGATGACTACGAAGTTGTCACTAATAGTCAGTGAACCGTCAACAAGTTAAAGCACTACAAGAAAAGTTTAAGGTCTCATGTGCCAAGTAATTAATTGGTCAATTATGGAGTCTCAAGTTGTTTTGGGGTTCCTTTCCACTCGTGACTTCCTGTCAAAGCCAAAACACACCAGCACTCTTCTCCACAGTAGTTGCCAGGAGACTGGAGGTCGTTGAGGCCACGCTGCAGCAGCGATGGGTGCCTCTGGCTTCAAGGCGTGGGGCTCACACGGCAGGATTTGGGGTGGGGGGGCGGGGGGCATTTGCACATAACATAATAAGGTCCATTATGTCTTTTCATTGTGACCTTCCACCTTTCCGAAAGTTGTTAGCGCACACTGCAAAATGGACTATCGGTATTCCTCGAGCAACATGACGTCTTCATTCTTCAGGATGTGCGGTCACGTGAGTGGAAATAAATGTTAATCACACAGAGTGCACTAATTACACTCAGGGAGACGCGTGCAACTTGATATACGCAATATAAGAGCTGGATAAAAAAATTCTGCCTTTACTAAAATGATACGATGCAAATTCTGGGTAATCTTCAGAAAAGCGTGTCCAGAGTATCCACTTACTCGGCTCCAGAGAGCCCCGTGTTTGTTTTAAGAAAGAGTTACAGTAGGTAAGGGGTTAACATGCATTTTTCATTAAGCACTCACTTGAATTGTATTTAGAAAAATGACACGATTATATAAATTATATGGACAATGTTCACTCGCTACTTTACGGTTTAATTATTGCGGATGCACACCGTTGCAGATTCATTTACTTTTTTTTGATTTCCCCTGTAAGAAAATTCGGTTGTGATTAAAGGGCATCACCTCACCTAGTGCTGTTCCTAATATTTTGCCTCAAAGACATGCAATGTGTCCATTGAAAGGGTCTGTTATGTGTGGCTGTGATATACATTTTCCCACCTGCCCTCTCGAAGCTGCCTTTTTGGGAGACATTGCCTTGGACGAAGAAGAACTCCTCATGTTCAAAGATGCTCTCAGAACAGAAAGCGCCCGACTAAATAACGCCGCATCAGGTATCGCGACACTGCACATTTGTTGGGTGGATGTGATGTCATGTCATGAGCGAGTATCAGTACTTGGTATCGGTGAGCACTGAATTCTCAAGTATGGTACTCGGTCTGATCAAAGTGATATCAGTGCATTCCTAATATTTTATGGTGGACCTCAATATTGTTTCTAGTTGTGTTGCCGATCCCTTTCACGATCTCTTAACATCTCCACTCTCATCGCCATAGTCAGAAGTAAGCGAGCAGCAGTTAGGCAAAGCTCCCGTCAGCATCCCAGCGGACGGAGGAGGAGGAGGAGGGCGGCCACCTCCAGATCTGAGCGGATTTGGCCCGACAGCCTCATCCCGTATGTGATCAGCGGTAATTTCAGCGGTAGGTTCCGCCTGATGATGACCGCCACATCTTGAAGCAGTCAAACTCTGATTCAGAGTTTCTTTGCAGGTAGTCAGAGAGCCATTTTCCGCCAGGCCATGCGTCACTGGGAGAAGCACACTTGTGTAACGTTCATGGAGAGGACGACTGAAGAGAGCTACATTGTTTTCACATACAGACCTTGCGGGTGAAGTGGATGACTTCTTATTTATCGGAGTGAAAAGCGGGGCATTTTTTTTTGGGGGGGGGGGGTTAATGGAAGATGCTGGGGCACTGAACAGTGTCTCCCCCCCCTGCAGGTGTTGCTCTTATGTGGGAAGGAGAGGCGGTGGTCCCCAGGCCATCTCTATCGGGAAAAACTGTGATAAGTTTGGCATCGTGGTGCACGAACTTGGTCATGTGATCGGTTTCTGGCACGAACACACAAGACCAGACCGGGACGAACATGTCAGCATCAACAGGGACAACATTCAGCAAGGTATTGAATGACGAGTGCAATAAAAGGGAATCTGACCATCTCGATGTTCCCACAATGTCCGCTGACGGTCTGTCCATCAACAGGGCAGGAATACAATTTCCTGAAAATGGAACCGGGCGAGGTTGACTCACTCGGTGAGGTGTATGACTTTGGCAGTGTCATGCATTACGCCAAGAATACGTTCTCAAGGTTTGGACAACATTCTGCTGAACGTTGCATCGATGCGATGGTTCTCACACTTTTTACACCAAGTAGCACGTCAAAAATATTGAGCTCCCCTGTGCGCTAACATTGTGGGCCAACTTTCAAAGACAGTAGCGTAGTCGGCCTAGGTGTTCATCATATATGATTTGTTGTAAGCTACTGTAACATGCACATTTGAACATCAACAGTGAACCTTAAATGTAGTTCAACTCACTAATCAACAACCCCCCCCCCCAAAAAAAAAGGAATGGAAGCATAATGTACACCAGTTGACCTTTATAGCCACTAGCTTCACTTTGTCTAATGTACAGTATTTATCTTCATAGCCAATTTTCACTCCTTTTCATGTCTATCAAGTATGATTGTTTATTTTTCCCCCTCCCTGTTGCCTTTCTGTCTTTTTGGGGGGGGGGGGTCATGACTCATGTAGGCAAGCCAGGTTGCATAAAAGCACCGCATTGCTGGCTTTGTTGAATAATTTGAGCTGGACTGGCCGTTTGTACTCCTGGCATTCAGGCGCGCGCTCCGCTGATCTGGCGAGCAAAGGCGACCAAAAGGCCCCCCCCGCCCCCGCCATTCAGAGCGCTGTGTTTGCACATGCCTGCCATTCGCGGGTGTATCACCATGGGAACCGCACGAGTGAGCCCTGAACCCACTGAGAGATTATCAAAAGATTATCAATAACTCAACCAGGGCCTCTGCATGTTAAAACACGGATCACTTTTTTTGGTTTGAACTCTGTTAATTAGTCACTTTGTTGTTATTTTATTTCATTTTATTGACACAGAAGGGTCTTCTTGGACACAATTCTGCCCCGTTATGATGTTAATGGAGTGCGACCCTCTATTGGACAGCGGCTCAAACTTAGCAAAGGAGATATTACACAAGCTCAAAAACTCTACAAATGCGCAAGTGAGATGCATTTTGTTGTGCTTTTTTTAAAATTAATCTCATTTTTGATATTCCCGCAACTTGATTAATGTTATGAGCTGATGACAGGATGCGGAGAGACTTTGCAAGACAGTGCCGGAAACTTCTCCTCCCCTGATTTCCCCAACGGCTACTCTGCATATATTCATTGCGTGTGGAGGATCTCGGTCACGCCTGGAGAAAAGGTTAGAACAATGACGACGTTTGATTTGACTGATGACAATTTTAGTTCACGGCATTTGGTACATGCGCACAATTGAATGAGATCTAAAACAAGAGCCGCAGTGATACAGCTGTTGGATGGAAGTTAGTGAATGTGAAGAAAAATGCCTTCATTCTGTCTTGAACTTGCAGTTCAGAATAAGAATTTGAATCTTAATTGTCATTGCACAGTTTTCTTCAGATTTCCATGACCCGAATTAGGTTATTTTTGACCAAACTGTTTTCGAGTGAATCAAGCATGAATGTGTAATTGTATTTACTTCCGCAAGAGGGCGTTGTTACACAGTCCAAAAAAAAAAAAGTGACCGGCACAGTATTGCAGCCGCCGACACTGCTATTTCTCTTTCAGATCGTTCTAAATTTCACTACCATGGATGTCTTCGAGAGTCCCTCGTGCTGGTACGACTACGTGGAGGTTCGAGACGGCTTCTGGAAAAAAGCTCCACTGAAAGGTTTCTAACTGTGAAGAAGCCTCTGAATAAACTCGTGATTCCTGACTCGCTTTCGGGAAGGTCACGTCATATCCTCTGTCAGGTCGTTTCTGCGGAAACGCAGTACCAGATGTGATCGTCTCAAGTGACAGTCGACTCTGGGTTGAATTTAGGAGCAGCAGTAGCTGGGTGGGAAAAGGCTTCTCGGCCATCTATGAAGGTACAGCGCACGTGATGTCGCCACACCCGCCATCTTGTGTGAGGTTGAAATGTCATGTGCCATCTTTCCGTGCAGCCGTCTGTGGCGGGGAGGTGGTGCGGGACAGCGGCCAGATTCAGTCCCCCAACTATCCCGATGATTACCACTCCAACAAAATGTGTGTGTGGAAAGTCACGGTGGCAGAGGGTTATGAAGTGGGTCTCGCCTTTCAGTCGTTTGAGGTAAAAGATGCACTTTTCTCCCACAAGTGAGGCCCTTGAAATGAAAAGATGAATACACAACATAAGATCGGCATTTCGGATATGATTTCTCTGTGTTTGTGCGTTACTAAGATTTTTTAACAGGCCACATTTTTGTGTGAGCAAATATATTGGAGCAGATCGACCTAGAAATCGAAAAGAGTTGAATTGGTTTTTTTTCCACTTCTTGCCCCCGATGAACTATTTGCCAGGACGTTTGCACGGTGGCCTACCTCAGGTTACGCAATGTCTCCTTTCCAAATGTTGATGTTGGCCGCAGCTTGAGACTCACGACAGCTGTGCCTACGACTATGTGGAAGTGAGGGACGGAGGCTCGGCACGCAGCCCGCTGCTTGGCCGCTTCTGCGGCTGCGACAAACCAGACAACATCAAAAGCAGCACCAACCAACTCTGGCTCAAGTTTGCATCTGACGTCTCGGTCAATAAGGCCGGGTTCTCTGCCACGTTCTTTAAAGGTCTGTGTCCCACATGCCAATCATTGCTACTTCTTTCTTATCCCCCCCCTTGCAAAAACTACAACCTATTCCCCGCTCTTCGCTTTTCAGAGATGGATGAGTGTTCCCAACCTGATAATGGCGGCTGCGAACAGCACTGCCTGAACACTCTGGGCAGCTACAGATGCGCCTGCGATCCTGGATATGAACTGGCCGCAGACAGGTCAAGCTGCGAGAGTGAGCACTCGACTCTGAAAAATCTCAGCATGATGAAAAATCTAGCACAGAGAGACCATGCAGGTCTGTAGCATTATTTAGATGGCGCGGAGTCTACTGTTCCTAAAAAGGTCTGTTTTTTTCCCATAGGTCAGTATAGCTGACAAAATGGCGGAATCTCAAGATATAGTAGTTATACAAACCAAAAAAAAAAAAAAAAAAAAAACGAGCATGCACGCGTTGCTTTCTGTCGTGTGGAGACCGTTTGATAGGCGGCATTTTGGGGCTTAAAGACACATATGGAATAGAAAGCAGATGTTCAACAGCGTTAGATATAGTAGTTATACAAACAAAAAAATAAAAAACAAGAGCATGCACGCGTTGCTTTCTGTTCGTGTGTAGACCGTTTGATAGGCGGCATTTTGGGGCTTAGAGCCACATATGGAATAGAAAGCAGATGTTCAACAGCGTTGGTGGTATAGTGGTTAGCATAGCTGCCTTCCAAGCAGTTGACCCGGGTTCGATTCCCGGCCAACGCAAGACAGTTTAAAATTTTCAGTCGTATGGTGTTTAGCAAGCAAAAGCACAAAATGTGCAATTTTACGTGAGGAGGGTGTCACTCATTTTTAAATGTAAAAAAAAAAAAAAAACATTTCCTTCCATCAGCAGCAGCCTGCGGCGGCTTTCTCACCGAAATGAACGGCTCCCTCACCACCCCCGGGTGGCCGAAGGAATATCCGCCCAACAAAAACTGCGTGTGGCAGCTGGTGGCACCCGTCCAGTACCGCATCACTCTCGTGTTTGACGTGTTTGAGACCGAAGGCAACGATGTAAGTGTAAAAGGGATTAGCGGCGTGACAACGCGTCGCGGCGATCCAAGCCTAAATTCAAATTTGCTGCCATCAGGTTTGCAAATACGATTACGTGGAGGTGCGCAGCGGCGCCAGCGCCAACTCCGAACTTCACGGGAAGTTCTGCGGAGCAGAGAAACCCGAGGCCATCGCCTCGCTGCACAACAACCTGAGGGTGGAGTTCAAGTCTGACAATACTGTCTCCAAGAGAGGATTCAAGGCTCACTTTTTCTCTGGTAGCGTGACAACTTTGATGGACGAACTGTGACGAAATGTAGGATTGATTTTTTTTTAACCCGCCAATTGGATTGCCTCTTTAAAATTTTACGGCACATAACGCTGCCCTGTAATTTTCCGCCCTCTGTTTATTTTGCACGTTTTCATCCTGGCGCGTCGAGACTTTGTGCCCGTCCGTCCGTGTTTTGCAGATATGGACGAGTGCTCGCAAGAAAACGGCGGTTGCCAGCATGAATGTGTGAACACCATGGGAAGCTACAGATGTCAGTGCCGCAGTGGCTACATGCTGCATGACAACAAGCGCGACTGCAAGGAAGGTGCGTGCACGTGGCGCCGCCATCCACTGGGGTGTTCTTTTGACCACTTTCCCCCTCGCCCCCCAAAAAAAGAGCGCTGGTTTACTTTCGCACGAACCCTTTCATGCACCCTGTAACCTGATGACATGAAATGAAAAGCTGTCCACTATATCGGTTTTATTTTACACGTGATGTCTAAAATCAACTGGAATGACCGTAACATTTTCTTTTGTAAAAATCTGTGCTTTTTAAAGATGTGGACAAAACAAAAACAATTCCTTTGACATCTGGCGAACGCAAATGCTGCCAAGTTATGGAGAAGAGGAAACGAAGAAGCTGCCAAATGACGCAGTTGACATTGCGGTTGTTGTGAAATGTGTTCTCTTGTCTTTTTCCAGCGGGCTGCGATCTCGCGCTAAACGGCGCGTCGGGCACAGTCAGCAGCCCCAACTGGCCTGAGAAGTACCCCAGCAAGAAGGCCTGCACTTGGACTCTGTCCACCACTCCGGGCCATCGGATCAGACTCGTAAGAAAAAAAAACTACTGTACGAAGTCACGGTGTTTTCTGAGCACGCCGTGCTTTTTTTTTTCACTCTCAGGCCTTTGACGACATCGACATGGAGGCTCATTTGGAGTGTGCTTACGACCATTTGGAAATCTTTGACGGGAGCGATGTCCGTGCGCCGAGACTGGTTCGCATCTGCGGTACCAGGAAGCCTTCTCCCGTCATCTCCAGTGACAACGCCTTGTTCTTGCGCTTCTTCTCAGACAACTCGGTACAGAAGAGAGGCTTTCTTGCCTCCTATTCAGCAGGTGATAAAATTCCATCAAATGTCTTCTGATTGCTTCACAAAAGAAGAATTGATTCTTTCTTCTTTTTTTTTTCTTCGAGGCTCCTCTTTTTCACTCTCTAATTTTGTGGTCGCTCCAGAATGCGGAGGAAACCTTAGCGCTGAGGTCAAGACAAAAGATTTGTACTCTCATGCACAGTTTGGAGACAACAACTATCCGGGTGGCTCCGACTGTTTGTGGGTCGTCTCCGCCGAGAAGGGTTACGGAGTGGAGCTTCTCTTTCAAGTGTTTGAAATCGAGGAGGAGCCCGACTGCGGCTACGATTATGTGGAGCTCTACGACGGGGCTGACATCAAGTCCCCGAGGCTGGGCCGATTCTGCGGATCGGGGGTAAACGAATGCTCAAAATAGCAAGCTTACCCTTTTCGACGACCGGCCACTGTATCTTTTCAAATAGTTTCCTTGGCTGTCGATGTACAGTTTAAAGAGTCGACGCCGTGCCTCGAATTGATGCAAACTGACTGATACGGCAGAACGTGACTAAAATGGACCATTGCGGGGAAAAAAATCGGTCACTCTTCGCCGCACACCAACCGATTGAGGGCTGCACATCTACCGACATGCCGCAGAAACAAAAATTGTAATTGTCAGGTACAATCAGGGCTGTACCAATTGAATTGGGACTGACCCCTAAATTCCAACTCGATTCTTCGATTTCAAATTGAGGTGGCAAACAGGAAGCTGAATCGAAATGAAAGTCTTCAACAGTGAAGCTTTACGGAATCAACCTAATGACATGAATTTCATACAAATATTATTGTAAGGACTTGATGTAAATAATTATCGTTGAAGTGTCGTCAGTTTTTTTCATTCACATTGAAAGCCTACTCAGATAAAACAGATCATTAAAATCGTAAACACGTCGAAATTGTTTGATAAGACGGTAGAACGACGCTTGCTTTTATCGAGGTCTCGAAAAAATGGCCGAGCCCAAACATTTTGTTTGGAGCACGCTAGTGCTCGAAAATTGTCTCGCTCTCACTGATACGTGTTGAGAAGGACTTTTCTCTGAAGCGCATTGAATCCACTTCCTGAAATTCAATTTCAGTTCAACATCGCGTAGGCTGCAGTCACTTGAAATTCATTCCATTTCTATCATCCGGTCACGCTTTTTCCACGTTGATGCGTGTGTGTATTTTTCTCTTCCTCCTCAGGCCCCGGAGGAGATCTACTCCGCTGGGGATTCCCTGGTGGTCAAATTTCACTCGGATGACAGCATTGGTAAAAAAGGTTTTCACCTGCACTACACAAGCACCAAATTTCAGGACACGCTACACGTGAGCAAGTGACTGTACGAAAGCCAAAACCTTACTCGACTTAAACATTTTGTCCGCCGCTCCCATTCCGGCGAGGAGCAGACATGTGGAATCGCACCCCAACACCCGCGAATGTACCACTCACGTCTGTTCGAGTGAAGCAAGGTGACATATTTACTCCGTGTGTTACAGCTATCGGATAAACACTAAGGACTAGTTTTCAACAAGGATTTGGGACGTTTTTTTTTTTTTTGCCTCACACAGCCTGTAATGACCCTTTTTTGTAGCCTGGTGAAGATTTAAAATGCAGACGTCGTGGAAAAACAGCGGTTCTTTTTACATGAGATCCGATGCAAGAGCTGTCTCGTGCTTGGTAACTCGTATAAGAAATTGATTGTCTTTATGATGCAGGGCACTTTTAAGCGTCGACGTTGTTCAGTTAATATCCTCGAGTTGGGATGAATTGCGTTGGAGCGTTTTGGACTGAGCAGAAGCGCTTTCGGCAGCGTCGGCGAATGGAGTTGATGTCATTCATTCTGTGCTGCGTCGCATTGAGTCAATGGTCACATGATCACGTTTGAACAAAGCAGTTGAGGTGTTTTGAGTGTTTCTGCACATCGAGTTTGTGGGGAGTAAGGGGGTGGGGGGGGGGCAATGTTAGTCCCGCTATTTGCTTTACTTGCACTAAAATGATAACCCGCAAACTGTTTTCCTGTGTCACCTTCTTTACTTCATTGCCAGTTGTGATTTTTGTTTCAAGCTCGTAATCGGAACATTGTGTGATGTAGCTACCGACGGAAAATGTGGTAGTTTGTTGTTCGTTTAAAAATAATAATAATAATAAATCAGACATTTTCCAAAATGACAAACAGGATACTGTACTGTTTTTATGTTCCCATTGATATGTTTTTTTTTTTTTTTTTCCTGAGTACCACGTTGATGCATCGCTAAAACAATAAAGCCAACAATCCAATAAAATCACTCACGTTTTGGAGCTGAAAATATTTATTCGATGTATCGCAAACATATTCGTGCCTCGTAGAGCCCGTCTACGAGCGTTTAAAAAAAAAAAAAAAACGGTCCAAATTCACGGTAGTGTCTCATTCCGTACAAAAGAAACAAAACCCCAAAACTTGACAGTAAGTTTAAATCTTTGGCAAGAAAACTTTCAGAGGCTCATTCTCGTGCACTTTGTCCAGAAAGCCCAAGTTGAAGTACGGAAAGAGCGTCTCGCTGAAGATCTCCCTGAAGGTGTACAGATGCGTCATGGTCTCTGCATTGTAAAAGGACACCAGACCTCTCTTGTAGTCCAGGTACACGCCGATCCTGGCCAGCGGCTCCTCCAGGGACAGAACGGTGGGCGGGGACGTGCCCGCCATATACTGTACGCCGTAAGAGAGCGAGAGGGTCCAAAAGCCGTTTGCCGGAAGAGCTTTGATGACTCCTTTTCTGGGGACCGACTCCCGGGCCACGCCCAGGGTCCACACGGTGCTGCTGTAGACTTCGATCTCCCAGTAGTGCCGCCCGTGGGTGAAACCTTGGCTCCCGAGCAGCGACAGGGCGGCGTTGAACCTGTGCGGGTTGTCCTCCACGGCGTGGTTGAAGGTCTGGTAGCGGACGCAGGTCAGTGACGAGCTGAGGCTGAGCCAAGGGTTGGCCGTGCTGGAGTTAAAGGTAATGACCGCGGGGACTAAAAGGGAGATGTCACATGGCAAAAGGGTTTCATGGAGTTGAAAATGTTTGATCGCCCATCCATCTATTTCCGACATGGCGCTTCAGCTTGCCCACCGCTTTCAGTGCTCGTTGCCAGTGGTCAAGGGTTTTGATTCTCGTACCTGGGTAAATGCTGCCTTTCATGGATTTCCACACTCGATACTGCAGAGGCCCCGCGAATCGGCCTTCACACAGACTGGGAGGTACAAAAGCCGGCTTCTCGAACTTCAGCGAGGGTCTGCCAACAAAACCAAAGCGGCGCAATGAACACAAATCCCCCCCGGCAGGACTTGAATGCAAGTCTTTCTCACTCTCACCTCTGCAGCAAAAGTTTGATGCTCTGAAATGAGAGAAAGGTGATTGTTGGATTCACCTGGCGCTTTTGGATTCACCTGGCGCTTTAAGAGGGGCGGGGCTGCCACTGACAGCTGACCGTTCGCGCAACATATAAAAAGCAGCATCGCATTATGTTAAGTTAGTAAATACACTCGCTTCGTCGTCGGCATGGCCCAATGGTAAGCTACGTGTGTGCTTTACCAGACATGTAAAGTTGGCTTTTAGATTCGATCATGATCATCGGTTGCTTTGTTTGTCTGCTTTACATTGTGTCCGTTGTGCTTTATGTTTGCCGCATCGCTATGCAATCACTGTCAGTTACCGTTCGCAATCGGCAATTTAAACTTTAAACTCTAATTTAAACTGTAGTGTTGCTAGAACGGTGGTTTCTTTATTTGGATCATTTTGCATAGTTGTCATGTTTGTCCGGCTTTAAGTAATTTGCGTTGCAGCTGGGCTTAATCATGCCGGCGCTCCACTTCCGGGTTGGACCTCTGGGACTTGTAGTTCTTTTGTTCGAGTCGCCTTGATATGTTTGGTTTCTTACGTTTAAGATAATAATGATGACGATAATAATACACAGTGAAATCATGGTTGATTAAAGTATTTATTAAACATGTTGTTAAAATAAAAGTATTAATTAATGTCAATTGTATACATATTTACATCGTGATGCAGAAAGATAGATATATTCATTTTTTACTGCATTTATGTGTGCTTTAGGTTATACAAATATGAATCACAAACTCGATGGTTTAGTAAGAAAATCAGCACCGGGTCATACGTTTGTCTTGTGAGTGTAGGAAGTCGGCCCCCCAGATCCCCCTCCACCCATTACATCGTCTGCGCTCACACACTTAATCCCACCCACTGAGAGCTCCCCGGAGCTACCCGGAGGGGCGGGGGGGGGAGTCCCGCGGCCGTCAGTGGCTCAACAAAACTCCCTAACCCCCCCTCCTTGATCCACAAGTGAGCTCACTGGCCTACATCCTGTCCAGCAGAGACTCCTTTGTTATCGGGAAGCGGGAACGACTTGACCCTTGAAATGTGTCCGCGCCGCAGAGTTTGGCTTCCTTCAGACCGTGCGCAGACTTGACAGGAAAGGCAAAACAGTCCCACCCAGTTCAGTTTAGCGTTTTATGTCTGATGTACTTCAAAATGAAGACCTCAGCGTTTTCCCCTTCCATAATCACCTCCAGAGAGCTGGCTCAATACAAACTACCCAGCGGGGGAATTCCAGATTTGACTTTACCCGCAGCAGAATGAAGGGATCCTGCTCCCTCAGCTTGTCTTCTATCTCTTGGAGCGCTCGCTGCAGACGGGAGATCTCCACGCACAGTAGGGCCTTGTGCTCGTCCAGGCGGATCAGCTCGCGGCGCTCCTCCGTCTTCAGCTTGACCTGTAGCATCTTCTCCTCCTGGTAGAGGAACTGGTGCAGGTCGCTGAATTGTGCCTCGATGCGTTGCTTCAGGTCAGCCGTGTGCTCCTGGGCGAGGTGGGAAGTCACACACGTTGACCCCCTGTTGCTGAATCATGTAAGTTACGTAACCAACGTATTGAAAACTCCGCCGATGTGCTGTGTCGGAAAAGTTCCAAGAAAGATGTAGTGTATTTCAAACCTTGCTGTCTACGTGTGCGCCATTGATAGCTGATTTATTTTGCATCCTATAAAAGAGGTTCCTCAGCACAGAGAGAGGCGCAAGGTCAAAGTATGTTGAGGCATGAGATAGGCGTGCACAAAGTTCCTTGAAAAGGAACTGCAAGATCTCCACTTGCGGATGAGGTCAATTTGGAATGAGAAACACCGTCAGCCAACCGGGACGCCTAACGAGGCGCAATGCGGTCTTACAAATACAGTAAACGAGACTTGCCCAGCATGAAACTGAAGATCTGCCAGTTTTTATGCATATGCCCCTCCCCACAAAAAAAAGGGTTCGATGAATTTTCCCTCCAATCTGGGCCAGATGATCAAGCAGCCCGTTTACAAAGAAACTGCTTCAAGCACTGTGCAAGAATAGTTATCGCTGCTTCACCACGGCAGCGCACCTGCTTCCAATCCCCTGAGCATCTGACAGTTCCTGCCGGAAAATAGCATTGTGTGATTTTCAATGACAGCGCTGCAGAGGAGCCTAAAAAGTTTCCTTTCAGGTTGAAGGCGTGGCAGAAAAGGCCGGGAAGTGCATTGGCCTCCAAAGGCTTTACTTTGAAGGGGAACACTTGGAGTGTGGATGTTTTGTGACACCAGTCCTTCGAACTTTTCTGGCACACCTTTTATATGTACCGGAATGTCACAAGCACGTACCATCATTCTGTTCAGGAGTGTTGTCTTCTCACCTTAAGATTTTTGACTTCGTCCTCAGCTTCCCTGTCGCACTGCATGGCCGTGTTGAGCTCGGCTTTGAGGGAATCCATGGAGCTGTTCAGAGATACCTAATTGGATCAGGGAGAAGAACCCTTTACTACCTTCTCACCGGGACCAAAGACGTCAGCGTTTTGCGCTAGAATGTCAATACTTTTCGGTTCGAGTGGGCTCACCCTGTACTTGAGCTCTGCGTCTTGCACGCACATCATGGTGTGGTTCCTGTGCTCCTGGGAGATTCCACACACCAGACACACGAGCTCTTGATCCTCCTCGCAGTAAAGCTTCAGCTCCTCCCGGTGTCGGCTGCAGCGCGGAGCCGGAGCCGGAGCGGGCGCCTTCTCGGCCGCGGCCGCGTCGGGCAGCCCGGTCCCGCCGCCGCTCTCCTCCAGCCCCTGACAGTAGCTCTCCACAATGTTGGCCACGATGCGGTTGGGCCTGTAGCTCTGCCCGGGGAACACCTTCCTGCATTGGGGACAGGAGCCCGATTCTCCTTGGCTGCGGCCCCTCGGCCCGGTCCAGTAGCCCTCGATGCAGCCCTGGCAGAAGGTGTGATCGCAGGGCAGCGACACGGGCTGTTTGAAGAGATCCAAGCAGATGGAGCAGGTCAGGTCTCTGCTGATTCTGTGCGCGGAGTTTTTGATGGCGGGAGAGTGGCGCTTCTCCATTGCCGTCGGCGCGCCAAAGTCTCCTTCCTTGGCCTTCCAGCTCTTCCTCTCTTGCTTGGCCCCTTGATTGAGCTTCTCCACATTCTGCAGGTAAGCAGACTGGATTTTCTTGACTTCTTTCTGGTTCTTGCTCATGTCTCTGCCTTCGGTTGCTGAGCGCGCCACACACTGCTGGACTTGTTCTGTCTGTGGCCTCCTTCCTGTTGACGGAGAAGTGCGTGTGACTGGAGGGAGGGAGGGGTGAGGGGGTAGCAGCAGCAGCAGCCTCTCACATCCGTTGATAGTGAGGGAAATCTCCTCCTCCTCCCCGCTAACCGCCTCCTCTCTCCAGACAGTCACAACACATCTCAGGCAGGAAACAAAGGCGGGATACAGGACTTGAGCCGCATGTTTGTTTTAACCGCGTCTGGGCAGCGGCTGCGACGAAACTCCAAGCCGCAGCCCTCTTAATCGGCAGCGGGGAAAAAAAAATGTAAATCCACTTCATGTGCCTGTGAGGGCATTTCAAGATGAATCGAGTGGAAGCACAGAGCGATCTTTCGAGATTGCCATCAGTTTGTGCATAAAAGCGCAACAAGTACAAACAGGTTCTCGCCGAACTGAACGGCCGCATGGACATTCCCTCTCGACTTTGTCCACGTTTCTATCACATATTTACGTTCTTTAAGGGGCTCAAAACATCTGCGCAACAACCATCTTTCTGCACTGGTCTATTACTCACGGACGCGTAATGACAGGCCACTGGAGGAAAATTGGCAGTCGGCCTGTATGTGTAAGAAGTAGCTCAATTCCCATCCTGTCTTTGTGCGTGGGAGTATTGAAGGGCGGCAACAATATTGTTTACTGGGAGCCAACTGGTCATTAAATGTGTCACAAGAAAATGTTTATTTGCAGTTTTTGACCTCTACAAGTTACGTGAGACAAATGAGGGCAGGCTTCCTTGCAAAAGGCCATGGTGAGTTTGTTCCATCAAACGTTTTTCCCCGTCATCACGCGCCCGA